TCTGGACCCTTCTTCAGAAAGGTCCAGACCCAAAACGTCAGCTTTCTTGCTCCTCTTGATGCTGTCTGGCCTGCTGTGTTCATCCAACTCTACACCTTGTTATCCTGGATTTTCTGTTATTCTTTGACTCCATTGCCAAAAATTGTGAAATCTCAGTTGTCTCATTTGAGGGACATAATGAGGAGCTGAATGCATCTGCTTATTCCATTGGACCCATCAATGACATATAACAATAGCAACGACGACAATTAGATATAGAAATTCCTACCTGCAATGAATACTGAAGCACAATAGAGAAGGATAAGAGACTAACATGCTGACATCACAACTACTGATAGGTGTACCTCAACACCTGGAGAGAGCAAGAACTGCAGTTGCTGGAAGTCAGAGTCGATACAGTGTGGAGCTGGAGGAACGCAGCAGGTCACGCAGCATCAGACGAGCAGGAAAGTTGACATTTCGGGTGGGGACTCTTCATCAGGACTGGGGAGGAAGGGAGCTCAGAAATAAATAGAGAGAGGGGGTCGGGCTGGGCGAAGGTAGGTGGGGTGGTGATCGATGGATGCAGGTGGGGGGTTGGGGAGTTTGGTCAAGGGGAAGAGTAGGGCAGATAGGCTATTGGGTTGTAAGCTCCCGAGGCGGAATATAAGGTGTTGTTCCTCAAATTTTCATGTGGCCTCATTGTGACATTGGAGGAGGCCCAGGGTGGAAATGTCGCCAAGGGAGTGGGAAGGGGAGTTGAAATGGCTGGCAACCGGAAGGTGGTGTTGATTGAAGTGTACAGAACTCAGAAGCTCCATGAATCGGTCACCGAGATTGCGGTTGGTCTCTCTGACGTAGATGAGACCACATTGGGAGCAACGGCTGCAGTAGATCAGGTTAGAAGACGTACAGGGGAATCCCTGTTGGATACAGAGTGATTGTTTGGGGCCTTGGATGGAGGTAAGAGGGTAAGTGTAGGGTCAGGTGTAGCACTTCCTGCGGTTGCAAGGAAAGCTGCCAGGTGTGGTCTGGTTGCTGGGGAGTGTGGAGTAGATAAGGGAATCGTGGAGAGTCTGGTC